GGGGTCTGCTGGCAAATGCTCCAGCGCTGACGCTTTTCTGTTTCATTCTGGGGTCCAAGTGTATTGCCTGCCCGCCGCCCCAAAGGTTTTCTTGTATTCCCGTTTTTTGTTCTTAAGCATTTGAACTACTGTTATTAGGTACGGTCCCGTTCCTCCTGACTCACAGTGGCCTTGTGAACAACGGAACGAAACCCTGCCCAGGCCTGGGCCGTCCTCACAGTCCTTGCTGTGCTTGAGCCCGTCATCGCAGCCACTCTGTCAGTCCATCTTGTTGACGGCTTCCCCCCCCCCCTTTTTTTTTTTCCCTGAAGCATGATATCCTTTGGCAGGGAGTGGTCCCTCCTGATGACATGTCCACAGTGTCAGAGACAGTGTCTCACCCCCTTTGCTTCTGAGGAGCATCCTGGCTGTACTTCCCCCAAGACACATTTGTTCGTTCTCTGGCAGTTCATGGTACGTTCAGTAGTCTTCAGCACCACAATTCAAAGCCATTAGTTATTTTTAGGTTTTCCTTATTCATTATCCAGCTTTCGAATACACACAGGGTGATTGAAAATACCATAGCTTGGGTCACACGCACCTTAATCCTAAAATGACATCTTTACTCTTTAAAACTTCCAGTAGGTCCCTTGTAGCAGATTTGACCAATGCAGTACATTGTTTGGTTTCTTGACTGCTACTTCCATGGACGTTGATTGTAGATTCAAGTAAAATGAAATCCTGACAACAAAAATACTTTTTCCATTTATTGTCATGCTGCTTAGTGGTCCAGTTATGAGGATTTTCATGTTCTTTATCTTGAGGTGTAGTCCAGACTGCAGACTGTAGTCTTTAATCTTCATTGGTAAGTGCTTTAAGTCACCGTCACATTCAGCAAGCAAGGATGTCTTGTCCGTGTATCAGGTTATTAATGATTCTTCCTCTAGTCCTGATGCCACGTTCTTCTCCGTCTAGTCCAGTTTCTCAGATTATTTGCTCAGCATACAGATTGAATAAGTATGGTGAAAGGATACAATCCTGACCCTGACGCACTCCCTTCTGATTTTAAACCATGCAATGTATCCCCTTGTTTTGTTTGAATGACAACCTCCTGGTCTGTGTACAGGTTCCTCATGAGCACAATTAAGTGTTCTGAAATTCCCATTCTTCTCAATGTTATCCATAATTTGTCATGATCCACACAATCAAATGCCTTTGCATAGTCAATAAAACACAAGTAGACATCTTTCCAGTATTCTTTGCTTTGAGCCAGGATCCATTTGACATCAGCAATGATACCCCTCGTTCCATGTCCTCTTCTGAAACCAGCTTGCATTTCCGGAAGTTCTCTGTCAATAATATACTGCTGCAACAGTTTTTGAATTATCTTCAGTAAGATCTTACTTGCATGTGATATTAATGATGTTGTTTGATAATTTCCACATCTGTGGGATCACCTTACTTTGGAATGGGTACAAATGTGGATCTCTTCCAGTCAGTTGGCCAGGTAGCTTGTCTTCCACATTTCTTGGCATCGATGAGTGAGTGCCTCTAGGGCAGCATCTGTTGTTGAAACATCTCAGTGGGGATTCTGCCAATTCCTGGAGCCTTGTGTTTCGCCAGTTCCTTCAGGGCAGCTCCGACTTCTTCCTTCAGTGCCATTGGTTCTTGATCATATGCCGCCTCCTGAAATGGAGGAAGATTGACCACTTCTTTTTGGTTCAGTGGCTCTGTGTTTTCCTTGCATCTTCTTTTGATGTTTCCTGCATCATTCAGTATTTTGCCCGTAGAATCCTTCAGTATTGCAACTTGAGGCTTGAGAAATGCCGAGTGTGTTCTTCCCTTTTGGTTTTCTAACTCCAGGTATTTGCACATTGCTTTATAGTAATTGACTTTGTTTTCTGGAACTGCTTTATGGAATGTGCTGTTCAGCTCTTTTATCTTGTCCTTTCTTCCATTTGCTTTAGCTACTCTTTGTTCAAGAGCAAATTGCAAGTCTCTTCTGACATCCATTTTGGTCTTTTCTTCTCTTCCTGTCCGATGACTTTTTGCTTTCTTCATGGGCAGTTTTTCC